GAACTTTTTAATATGTAATGTTAAAACAACCACTTTCAAAATCCAAAATTAATGTCAAAAAGAAATTATACTTCTATAATAGTTCGAGTTGAGCCGCAAGCTGTACATTGATGGATTCCATTAAATAAATTTTCAGAATTCACAGATGACACGACCTAAATATTTACAATGCATATGCATTGTAAATACATAGGCATAGAAAAATACAGTGACTTATATGCTGATGTTAGTTTGGTTGTGTATTGGATTTATTTTTCAGGTTTTGTGATATTTTCCATTTATATTTAAAGTCATATCTCCAAACTGAACTTTGCTGCTTTTGTTTAGTTCATTAGATTGTTATTGAACTTGGAGAAAACAGTGCATCATGTCACTTACAGTGTAGAAATGTTTTTAAAATAAGCAACCAAAAAAGATCATCTGACTACTTTTGGATTACTCGAAGATCAAACATGGAAAATGTTGCACCTTATACAAAAACGGACAGTCTCATAAGTGTGTCATTCCACAAATGTTTTCTCTTTATGTGCACAGAAACAATTTAAATGCAAATGTAGCAGTTACAGCTAGTCAAATCAAATGACTCGTGCACTGTGTGAATTCTGCAACATGTACTTAGAATGCGCAGTAATAATATTAATACTGTATTCTGTCATTGCACTTCTTCCACTACTTGCCAGTCAAAATATACAGATTTAAACCAAAACCTCCCTCTTGGTCGTAATGTGTTTTCTTTGTCTGCTCATTGTGCATTAGCTCAGTCCCTCTGTGTAGCCTTGGCCCCGGGCTGAGGATGATGATGATGATGAGGGGCCCGGCCCGCCGCCGCCGCTGTCCAGTGACCCCTGGTGCTGATTGGAGTAGCGTTTTGGCCCCTGTCCTGTTTTATTTCCCTAATTGGGAGTAAATGGCCTCCTTGTTGACTCTTTACATCCTGTGCAGGGAACCATATGTTGCACACACGCCCACCCCCTGCACGCCGCCTGATTGCAGCGGCTGCGCCGGGATTTCTCCTCGCATACCGACCGCTGCGGCTCTCCCACACAGATTCTAAACTGATTACAGTTTTCAGAGACAGCTATCGGGGTTTAAGTAGGAATGGCGATAGATCAATAACCAAAGACCCCAGAACTGTGCAAATCATCTGACCTTGTTATCGTCTTAAGCGCACAGAAAATAAGGAAAATGTGTTATTTGCTCGTGTACTTCTGATATTGCATTTCAAAACATAACATTTAGGCCTACTAGGCTGAACTTCACGCATTCTATTCATTTATGCGTTTATATGTCGTAATGCTGATTTTCCTATTATGAGATCACGAATGGATAATATTGCTTAAATAAGCAAAATTAAAAAAAACACACACACAACTATACAACATAAAGTGCCTAGTGAGGAACAGACGGCAAAAACCGCGAGCTTTGTATGAAAATATAGAATATTCCAAACTTTGATGGCGATAAAAGACGTTCGCGCACAAACAGACATATACAATAACTTTATCTCCATTTAGAATGTGCAAAGTAACTCCAGCTGTCAGATAAACGCGGTGTAACAGTAATTGCGCGTAATTGCGAGTAAATGTACTTCATGTATGTGTCCCCTCTTTATATTTTATGACTGGTTTTGTTCCGCTGCTCTCTCCATTGTTGCAGGCGGCTCACATGCAGCACTGTTGTAACTGTAAACGGTCTGTGGTGTTCCGACATAAAAAAGCAAATCTGCTCCTGATTAAAACAACACGGAGAGTTTACAGAACAAGTGGCCGTGTGAGATTAATTCGGCCGCGCTGATTCTCATTATTACAAAGCCCCAGAAACCGCTCGGAACAGCCTGCAACCAGGGACTCTTTAGAACTCATCATCATAAGACATACTGTGTAAATAAATAACTACTTCTCCTCATAAAGTCTTGGGTCCGATATTTATGTGTTTAAGATTTAATTCGTCTTTGTTTAAAGTTAGGGTGACTAATTTCATTTGATATATAAATGCATATGACTATTTGTTTTAATAAATGAGTTTATTTTTATTTCTTTCTCCCCTGAAATAAATTTCTTTTCCTTTTAAAGTAAAACAGCCTTGTCGAAAGATTTCTTTGAAAGTGTAGCTGAAACAGGCACGGCACGATTTCAACTCTGTAGTTCACATTTACAAAGATTGAATCTACTGGCGGGATCCTGAGCATTAATTCGGCTCAAGTATTTAAAATTCAATCAGAAACAGAAGTGACATTTGTTTCATTTACTGGTTAGTTTCTTAATTTCCAGAGCAGACCGTGAACAGAATAAGGAGGAGATCCCGTATAAAACACCGTTTCCGCTCAAAAACGTTGATGGCACACATGCTTATCTTGTGCCGTGGTACTGAGGTTGAGTTCAGAGTTCACTCTGCGTGGAGGTGAAGTCCGGCTCGTCCAGATGGCTGATATTTTTAAGAAAACTTGATTTCCCCCCACCCCCCGTTTCTCTGTGGCTGCCGGACTTCTCGGGTTTCAGGGTCTTTCTCGACCTGTCGAGGGACGGCAGCGCCACATAAATCACACTTTACTTTATAAACCCTCTGCTCTCTGAAGTCCGACTCAGGACCCAACACACACACTCTCTCACACACATACACACATGTATTTCCAATGTACAAGCGATTGCTGTAGATTGAAGCCCCGTTGGATGCCTTAATCTGCGCTGCCTGTATCTTCTCATTTTTCTTTGTCATAATTTAGAACACATTTCCTTTCACAGGGAGTCCCCTTCGGAGTTATCTGGAAGGACTGCAACAATTTTAGAGTAAAACTGCAGCAGTGATGAATCGAATGCAGAATAAACAATCTTATTTTTGAGCATATGGGAGAATGTAAAGTCTAATATTGTCAATAAAAATAGAAGAAATGTTAATAAAAGCAGCCGCAGAATAAAATAAAATAGCTGAAAACAAAAGTATTTTGCCGTGTTAACATACATATTTTTTTTAATCAAATAGTTGCTTTCTAGTGCAAAACTTATTGAATATTAGTTAAAAGATGGAAGGGCAGGAATTAAAAACAGTCATGAGATTCTACAGGGACCGTGTTTGTGTCAGGTGTGCTCCGATTCTCATGTTTCTGTGTGTGACTAAACTAGGGTCATATTTGTGCTGTGATTCCTTCAGTACACAGAGCAAGTGGATATTATAAAGTCATCTAAATCTGACTTGTGCATTGCATGCCAAATGGTTGCATTCATGCTGCTAAAGTTACTGTATATTCTGGTTATTTATGTCATTTTTACTTGTGTGAAATACTCACCCTGGAAAGATCAAACGATCTGACTGAGTGACTACACAAACTACAAATCAGACCGGATGTTTTTTTGCAAGCTTTTGGTATGTGACAGCGTTTCAGACTAACCAACCCTCTCATGTTGCCACAGCTACTCATAGATGGAAGCAGCATTTAATGATGCAGCCGGTCCAAGTTGAGCTACATTTCTAAAGTCTGTAAGAGTCAGTTCAGAATGTTTTACAGATAAAGAGCTGTGACTTAGGACATATTTGAAAACGGCATTTATCTTAGCGATTAACTTTGAAAACACTACTTTAAGGATATTCAAGATTCTACTGCAGACCAAAGTGACATGACAGACATTTTTATGTGTACATAGTGTGAATCAGGGGAGTCATTTATGTGGATTAAAAATGACAATATTTTCCTCCTAAATATAGTATAAAGATCAGTATAGAGGTATGAAGCTGCATAAAATTACAATACTCCTGAAATGCACAATTCAAAATAGCCGAGTTATATAGCCTATATGAGAGTACACTAGATTACATTTTATTTTTAAATGGATGCTCAAAAAAAATGACATAATAATCTGTTTTAGTTCATTTGGGTAATTGGGAACAGAATCCTAGAGGTTCTACAGGGACAGACGGACGGTGGTCACTCTCCTTCTGTGAACTTAAACCTTCCGACTAATTAAAAAGCTGCTTTTACGGTCTCCCCTTCAGACAGCCAGATGTGACCGGGGAGCTGTAAAATCTCAAAGCAGTATACAAAAACACTGCACTTTGAAAAACTTTGAGAAAGCGATTGGAGACCCAAAGTGGTCACATTGTAAATTCCTTCCCACACAGCAAGCTTCAGTTCTGTAGGTAACCTTCTACCCAAAAAGATGAACGCAAAGAAAATACAAATGGATATTTTCAATTTAAAAAAGTTTATTTTAGTAAAATATTACCCTTTTGTACATCTCTAAAATATGACGTTTTAAAATATTTTTTACCCCATTTAAATAGCCTTTATGTATTTTCTGAACACACAAATGAATCAGACTTTGGTCATTTTCACTTACATAGATTTACATTTACATTAGATTCTTATACATTTTCTGACACGCTGTCAAAAATGTACGCTAAGAGAAAAGATAAGCTTGGAGTATGCAGAAACACATGCAGCTGAGAGCATACATTAACAGATATCACCTTACCGTGCAAGCCCACTGCTCCTTAGCTGAACTGACAAGAGTTCGAGCTTTGTGAAATACAAGCCCAGCACCAGCAAATAGCGTCATCTACAACACATAAGTCACGACAGTTTGTATTCAGAACAGAAAGGGATTAATGATTAATGCCTCACTCCATATGCATGAAACGCCGGCTTTCTGCAAAGTAAACACAACCAGTCCTTCCACTTTTACAACAAAGACAACAATCAAAAACACTCATCTTCTGAATTCGACCCATGCTTAGAGATGTGATGGAAAACCGTGTTTGGAAGAAGAGGACTTTGCTTTTTAAGCACACACAAACATAAAAGTGCACACCTGAAGATAACAGCTACAAGATACCCTTCGATTTACCCAGCAACTGAACACGACTCTGGCCAGTCTATTGCTTTAAATATTTCACTCAAAGCCAGCGGGGATACAGTACTCGTGTTTCTCAAGCCCGATATATTAATATTCTACAAACTCTTTATTTAACAAAAGGAGGTAAAGTTCTCAATGTTTAAACAATTAAATAGAAGCAGCCTCACAAATAATAATAATAAAAAAAAATGTGTGAAACACATAACACCAGAAATCAGACCAGATTTTCTCTGTGAGCTTTCGCTACATGAGTTTTTCAGACTAACCAATCGTGTTAGTAACATACAGCTTTCTATGAGCTGCGACTTTTTAAAACAAAAATACAACCCAAAACATAACGATGCTTCTTCTGTATTAACCAAGGCTGTCAAGGATGCCAACATGGGAAACTTATCAGCTGGAGAATCATGTTGTAAGTGTTTTTCGCTTTGTATTGTGTCTTTTTTCTCCCTCCCCTTCGTCGATCTGGAAACGATGCTTTGCTAGCGATCAGTCTGTCTTGTCAGTGTAAAGTTGTAATTTAAAAAAATAAAATAAGTATTGATTTTAAACAGGCATACTATGCTGTGGGGAATAATTTTCTGTCATAGTTACAGTACAAAGTTATTTGATGCAAATGCCATGTTTAACTAGATGATAACAATGATGTGACTCGTGTGCTCTGGCCTCAACAGTCATTACATTTTAGACTGAGGTGTGGCAGTGATCGCCACAATCTCATCAGCTGTTCTGCCCACATGTGATGGTCAACACCTTGATACAGACACTTGATACAACATCTTTGTACAATTTGTCACCCATCAGTATATAACAGATATTTATAGAGCACATAACAGATTAAGATTGCCTCACGACACAGCCACAGATTCACTCTGAAGACAGTTTTCTAGTGTTTTACAGTCTTGCTCAGAATCTCCAGTCTCTTCCTTCACAGTCTCTTTCTCCTTAGGTCCACAATTTTTAGTTGATTCCACCTTTACCTCCTGACTCTCCACAGAGCCATTTTCCTTTTCCACGTCTTTCTGCACCTCTAAGTTTCTCCTCTCCTCTTCCTTTTGCCTCTCCAGCTCCTCTTCAGAAGCCTGAAGCTGTAGCTGCTGCATCAGTTCCTCCAGCTTGTGGGCTTTGCGCAGCTCATTTTGCTGGATGATGGCGCAGAGATGCTCCGTCAGCTGTTCCTTCACCTCCGTTTTCTTGTGAAGGTCCAGCTTGGCTATCACGTATTCAGCTTCTGCCCTCTCATAACGCTTTCTGTGGAGAAATAAGAGAAGAAAATGACTAAGAAACATGAAGAGGATCAAAACAGTACACTCAGAAATGATATGCTGTTTTTGAGCTTAATTTCCCTCACGAATAAGTAACTGTTTTATTTTATTTAGAATATGTGCTGAAAAAGATCCAAGTATGTTCATTTATATTTCATAAGTGCTATGACCAAATATCCTTGGTCATATGACCAATGTGTTAGGAAATGTGTTCATTTGTTATTTCTGCTTTTTGTCAAACCTTAACCACTTAGGAACACAAATGGAGTTCACAACATTTTTCAAGAAAAACAATTTTGAGAATTTATATAAGAATAAACAAAACTCAAACTTAAATTAATAATGATTCAACAAATAAACACATTCTGGTTCCAGGAAGTCAAAGACTTGTATATAGTAGTAAAAGTAGTAATTTCTTAACAATTCATCTAAAACAGTTGCTATTGTTAATAGTGACATTAAATAATGGACTAAAGTAAATGAAGTTAACGCAGTAACTAATAACTTCAATTCTTACTGAACTCTACATTTAGTGAGTAAATATCAAAAGCCTGCTTAATAAAAAGTTTCTCCATTTTGCTCCATTTTGGGAACAGAGCTTACGTTCTCTGCTCTCTGTGTCACAGCACACAGCATTAGTTATTTTCCTCTCTCACATTTCGTGAAGACCGTCTTCCATTCTGCCTTATCCTAACCATCTAACTGTACCAATACACGCTAGTCAGTCGGAGGCACAGTGAGGGCATGTCTTCACAGAATGCAATCATTGATACTGGGACTGACAAATACTGGAGACCAGAGTTCATGGACGGTGAAAAGATGATGATTTGTTTGATGATGAAGTTTGTTAAAATTAATGTTTAGAAACTACAGACACACACTTTACTTATTCGGCAACTAACAAAAAGGTCAATTCAGCAGTGCTTGCATATACTTTAGGGTTTTTTTTAAATTTTCTTTCATTTGGTGCTTATTATGTCTGGAACACCGTGCACTTCAATGAATGCAAAAAAATGACATGCAGAGTTGGTGACTGAACTAAAACCGACTGTACTGGCTGTGTCTCGTAACCCGCTGAGAGCAGATGCTTATTCTCTCAGAATGTCTGAATGCAGAAAGATTGTTTTAATTGCAAAGGACAGAAGACCACATGGTGTTTGGAAACACTGTGGTAACAAACCAGATGATGGCAAACATTTCCAAAAATCAAATTTCACCTCTAGCTATTATGTTGCATCTCAGCAACATCTTAACAACTGACTAAATCAGCATAATCATAACAGAATCCAGTGTACCGAGTGTGTGAAGGTCGGGTTTGTCTTTTCATTATACAAACACCTGTAATGATACAGGGCTAATGTCACTACATGACAGGCTGCAGCTTCATGAACTAGGTCAAATACAGAGTTACCATATCACAGGACAGAAGACTGTTTACACTGGGAAAGTAAAACACCATAATACAAGATACAGGTTTAACTTCCTGTATTTCATGATAAATGAATCATGATTTTAGCTGTTCTGTCCTCTGCATGGTGCATATATTGTGAAAGGTTACACGAGTACTGTAGGGGGCAGTGTTTCTATGGTTTCAAAGCACAGCCTGTACTAGCAAGAATTTATACTTTTGAAAATAAAAGCAATAAAAAGCAACACACCCCTTAGGAGTTACTGTTCAACAAATTGAATGACAGCAGAAACTGTTTTCGGAGAGGCTCCAGGAAGAACATCAACGTGACGCTAAGGCTCCAATGGCTGTTTCACACAGCATTTATCTCCACTCTCATCACTGTGTCATATATAGATCTGACTCAGGGCAAAGAATAAATGAAATGGTAAATGGCCTATATTTATATAGCGCTTTACTAGTCCCTAAGGACCCCAAAGCGCTTTACACAACCAGTCATTCACCCATTCACACACACATTCACACACTGGTGATGGCAAGCTACATTGTAGCCACAGCCACCCTGGGGCGCACTGACAGAGGCGAGGCTGCCGGACACTGGCGCCACCGGGCCCTCTGACCACCACCAGTAGGCAACGGGTGAAGTGTCTTGCCCAAGGACACAACGACCGAGACTGTCTGAGCCGGGGCTCGAACCGGCAACCTTCCGATTACAAGACAAACTGCCAACTCTTGAGCCACGATCGCCCCATACGAAGTGTTGACATTAAAAACAACCTTTGATGGTCTACAACAATCTGAAATATAACCACAATCTATAATGGCACTGATATCCATACTGTATCTAAAAGAAAAACAAAGTCACTGTAACATCACCCACCGATTCAGACTCTGCATTTTGAATCATCGACACTTGTATTATGGCTGTTTCCATGATGATTTTTCTGAAAGCCAGGACTGCCTGTATTTACATCAGATGGTGGACTGCTAAACCAAGCTTCGAGGGATAACACTAGCAAGTTTATTTAGCAGTCTGCCTTTTTAAACTGTGCAGATTCACTACAGAGGTTCACATACACAGTACTGCTAATCAGCACGATGTAGAAGACTAATAAAAATCATTAAAAATTCACTCAGGAAAATCTAGCATAAAATTCTTGGATGGTCTGTAGCGCAGAGTTACTGTCAGGTGATAAGCAGTTGAACAAAAACAGCTGAATGGAGGAACTGCAGTTTTGGCATTTCCATGTTTATTTTCAGCCACTTGCATTGGGATCAAGGAAATTTGTCAATATTCATCCCTAGTGGAGAGTGACACTTCAACTGGTCAACTGACATGCATGTGTGGATGCATTCTAATGCCTAAGGTGTGACCTAACTAATGTGATTGCATCACAGGTACCAGATGTGAATTGGGCATAAGTGTACTGGTGGGCCATGAAGTCATTAAAAACACATCTGTGCTTTTAATATTGTGACAAATTCACATCAGCTGTGGAAAAGGGTTTACTGACACTTTCTTTTATATTTTTTCCTGATGTTAAGGCTACCTTGCAGCTGAGTAGTCCCAACTGGCTTGCTCTATCTTTCCTCTCAGGATGCCAATGTCACAAGACACCATGTCGTCGAGGGCTTGCAGCTCTTTCTGGATTCTCTTTAGCTTTACAGTCTCTTCCTGAGTCTGTTTGGATCTGTGGAAAATAATAAACCATTCACACATATTGTTTTTTTGCCTTGACCTTAATCGTTGCAGTTTTGAGGCACATTTATATTCATCATGTTGACTTGATACTCTAGTGATATTTAAAGGGGGCCTCTTTTGAGCCTCTGTGTTCATAACAACGATCAAAAGAATGAAACTATATATACACTTACTTCTCAGCGATAGTTTTTGCCAGCAGAGCTTTCTTGCGTTTGTTCCTCTCTTCGATGATTTTTTGCTCATGCTGAAGTTGCTCCAGACGCGTCTTTTCCCGTCTGCCATCACACAAAATGAGAATTTAAACAAATGCATTTGCAATTTCATCTCAGAAAGACCAAACAAAAAACATCAGGATTATGAAAGGAGCAGTGTCTTTCAAAATCGTTCTAATTTACAAACACAACAGCACCCTATGGTATGGGTTTGGCAAATTATTATTATTAAGATTTTGATCATTGTGTGTTGATATTCTGATTCCGTTTTTTCCAAGTATCTGGTGCAGATCAGAATCTGAATCAGAGAAACCTTATTCATCCAAGAGAGAAACTGAGTAAGATGTGGACAGTGCTGAGGTAGTATGCATGAATTTAATGAAATGTGAGCCACATGTGTACAAGACCGACAGTACTGTCATTTATACATCACTCAAATCACATGCATCATATAATATGCTTGCTTTGACAGCCAAAGATAACCAAAAGAATCATGCATCATTCTTGTGAATATCACTTTGATCCACATCACCCACCAAGCAAGGCTCCACACCCTCCACGAGAACAACAGTCCCTAGCAAAATCGTCCTGCTTCTGCAAGAAAGTTCAACACTTGCAGTGCAAAAAACACTCCTCAGGAAGCGTTAAAGGAGCAGGACAAAGAACCCAGAGTTTTTACAGGTCTCCCAAACTACACACATCTAAATCTGTTCCAAATCTGAAACAAGTCTGTTCCATAGAGGCCATATTTTGGAAACCCACAGGAACCAAAGGATCCACAGCCACTGTTACAATGACAGGATACCCTGACAAGTCCTGTGTCCTGGAAGCATGGAAATCAATAATTTCCAATGATTTGTCTATACAGAAGCACAGGCGTTTATTTTCCACAACCATCACTTTTATGTTTGACTAGAACATTAACTAAACATTGATACAGCACTGATGAGTGCTAATTATCCAGCCGCAAAGTTGGGGCAGAGAGGAGCCATCTACTGTGGTAAGTTAAAGTTTTGTTTCTCACCCAGATAGACTGCAGATACACGCAAAACCACAACACACATTAATGATACAAATCACTGCTAGAAACCAAATATACAGAATTACAGTTAGGTCCATAATTTATTGGACAAAGTGAGATTTTTTTAAAAAAAATCAGTTTTCTCTTTGTACAACACCACAGTGGATTTTGGATCAAACAATCTGCATGTGACCAAAGCGCAGATCTTCAATTTATTTTAATGGATTTAACAGAAGGATAAATTCAGCTACTAATCTTTTTGGAACATTTTCTGCAGGACTGTCTCTGAAACCCAATGACATATATAATGATTGCTGTGAAATTTTAGCTTTATATATGAAAAACTTTCCTAGACTTTTATTTTTAAAGACGTATTAACTAGAGTCAGTTAATATGATTTCAAATCAATGTCACGATTGAATGTCAACATTCAACAATGTCAACATTTCCTGGCCGGAGGAGTTACGTGATAACCCATTCAGCACTACATTATTAAGGGGGCATTGCATACTTCTAACAAAGTCAAGAACACTCCCAAGGAGGTGGGTATTATTATCAACGTCTAAAATCAAGAGGTACTTTTATGTGGGGAAATGCAAAGGTTTACTACTACTAATTACATTCAAGAACAAGAAGACCAGAGTAGACTTTACCAAAAAAAACATCTGAAAGAGCCTGCTGAAAATTAATTCTTTGGCTAAATAAAATCAGCATGAATTTGTATCAGAAAGACTGTTTCCAATTATTAAAAATTATCCTTATATTTAAAATTAAATTTGTCCAAATGCTTTTGAGCTTTTGAATATGGGGGACTACCCATACGGAAAAGAAATAGTAAAAACTTATATGTGATTACTCATGAAAGTGGCTACTTTCGCATTACTTTCATACATTGTTTTAGTAAGTATCCAAAACATAGAAGTTTCATTATATAATTTTTCAAGGGATCTTATATCTGTTTTCACACTTATATGCTTTTCATACAAGTTTCACACAAGACAGACACAAAGTTTATAAGATTTATATATATATTTTCCATATGGGTATGCATAAAAATGGGTATGGTTTCTAAACAGTTGATGATAAATTTTTCTAAAAATGTTATTAATCAAAGCTGAAAGTCTGCGCTTCAATCACGTCTTGATTGTTTTAAAATCCTTTGTGGTAAAACTGCAAAAAATGTGTTTTCGTCCAACAAATTTTGGATCTATTTGTATATTTTGATTCACTGTGATACAGTCTCAAAGAAGAGCACAGAATGTCCCAGCATGTGCATGAAAACACACAATTATGTTTACATACTTGGGCATGTTTGCTACCCTGGTATTACACCTTCTATGTAAATATTGGTCAGTTTACCTGTCATCTTTACAGTGCACGTGAGAACAAAATCATACTAACAATTCAATCTCTTGCTTATCCAGCTCTTTAACCACTGGGGTTTCTTCTTCTGTAGTCGGTTGGTCGTTTTCATTGTGCTTCATTATAGCGGGCTTCTGCTGCACCTCTTGTTTGACAGTGGGTGTTGTCGCCGGGGCTGTGGGTTTAGGCTCTTCCCTCGGGGACGGTTTGGTGAGTTGTTGTTCGCGTGAAAGAACCAGTGACTCGGCTCCTACGTTTTTCTGGGCTGCTGACTGCAGGGCTCTTTCTCGCTGCAACTGCTGCCGACTCCGGTTACCTGAAGCTGGTTTTCGACCCCGGACTGGAGGTGCAGATACAGTAGAGTCTGAAAAGTACACATGACCATGGTTACTACTAAAAAAAAAGAAGTAGGAATAAAATATCAGAATGAAGTGCTGAGTGTTCCGACTCCCACTAGCAGCAAGAAAGGTTAGCTTACCCTTTTGCTGTATCCTGCGCAGCTCCTCGTCTGAAAAACCGGCCCAACCGCTCATTTTGCAACTCGCCTAACGAGACACATGTAGGAAATACTCAAATTACTTAAGACTACAAAGTTTTTAATTCAGAGTAAAGTTCAACGAAGGTGTAAACGCCACCGCCATCTTTGTTTATTAATGCCACGTCAAGGACCCCAAAAAGACCCACGAAATTGAAGTCCTACATATCGCCTGCATTAAAACAATGAAGAAGAAAGAACTAACTTGAAATCTAATTGAGATCATCAACAAGAATAATATCAGTATATTCTTTAGATAATTATACGTTGATGAGCTTAAAATGTGCTTCGAGTTATTTTATTTATCTTCGCAACTTAATATCATTTGTATAAAAAAGATAAAAGGCAACGTTCTGAACACCTGATCAACGGACTGAAAATGTTCTTGAGCTCTGTGCTTGTGGCTTGATAGTCATTAAGTGTTGTTGATCAATTAATTGATTTTTTACACACACACACGTCCTAGGATGCATTATTTATCACAAAACAAAACAAAAGAAAACTGAGAGCTGGTGGAAACTTGTAGGACTTTATACAACAATTTGATTACTTCCTAAAATTAAAGAATGCACTTGCAAGTTCAATGAATGGGAATACTATGGAAGGCAACTGAAGTGGATGATTAAGGTTCCCTTTCTCTTCTCTGGGGAAAAAACTCTCCTGAAAATATCTCACCAAATGAGGAACACTTTCATTGAAGTATCTACAGCCATGACATGCATTTATTAATTCAAAAACAGAGTTTACGTCAGCAAGATGAACAAGGCTACAGGGCTATACTCTCTTAATAACATTTTAAAATTCACACAGCAGTGGGGAATACATTTCAGTACAGTAGGCATCTTTCAGAAAGTAAACTAAATGTAAGGATATTAAGGATTATATTAAGGATGTTTAATTCCCCCATTGTTACTCTCTTCAATACCATGTGCCGACACAGAAGTCAGTTATCTCATTAGTAGTGCTACATTCTCACTGCATACGACCCTTGATACTGTGGCTCCACTGAAAATAAAGCTTCAAATTAAAAGCACTTGACTCCCATGCATGACTCTCAAACGTGCGCCTTAAACCAGACAAACAGTAAGTTAGAGAGGAAATGGCATCTCACTAAATTAGAAGATCTTTATTTAGCCCGCAAAAAAAGTTTGTTGCTCCATAAACAAAGGAAAAATAACAATAACAACAAAGGCTTTCCTAAAGTTGGGACATCTTACTTGTATCACTGATTCAAGAAAAGAAGAACAACCCCATGTTTTTCTTCGGTACTATAGCCCGGGTAACAAAGAGTTAGCACTCTTTTGAACTTTCCTCTCACAGTAACTAGTTGTGACTTAATACATTTCTTCAAGAAAAAATATAACAATTAGATAAAAAACAATCATACTCACACTCAAAGAAGTCCTACCATTAATTAACACTTTGATCTTAAATATTAGTCTTTCTATTAATGGCCTACATACCACATGTCTGTAAGGTGGCAGTAATTAAACCAGGTTCAGTCAGGACAAGCGTCAAATCTAAAAATAGTCATGAATGAAACAGTTCCGAAGTAAAGCGATCTCTCTCCTTTTATCTCAGACAGCGCTGCAATAAAGCTAATCCCCTCTCAGTTAATATGTGCATCCATCGTTTACACGTCGCTGAAAGCTGTGCTTAATTCAGTCTTATAGAAAAATGTCTCTGTCACTGAGGGTGTAGCCAGGTACAGCTCACAATGACTGGGGGCTAGCGGAGAGGCCAGCAGATTCTTTCTTGTACTTTGTGCATGTGGGTTGTGGATAAACCCCAGGTCTTTGGCAGTAATCTGATGGGAAACCAGACTGCGTGGCAAACTCCCACATAGCAAAATTGGTATGGCCCGGATCTGGCCCACACAATGTGCTTACACATGGCCTACATACCGCAAAGAATGACGGCCCTTTGGTGGCCCAGATCTGGTTTGCCAGAGGTGGCCCATACATGGGCCAGCACAAAGCCAGTTGGAGACACACTGTGCTGGCCTATGTGTGGATTACCTCTGGCAAACCAGATCTGGGCCACCAAAGGGCCGTCATTCTTTGCAATATGTGGGCCATGAGTAAGTTGTGTGCAGCCATGGGCCAGTTTCAGACACACTGCTGGCCCTGTGCTGGCAGAACAGTTTCAGCTCTGGCCCCAGATGTCAGCCTAAAGTGTACCTTAATCAAGCCATGTAATAACAACATGTGCCAGAACATAATAGTGCAAAAGTAAGATGACAAAACTCAGACAGTGAATCTCACACAGCACTTTTCTACTCTCGCAGATCACTCAAAGCACTCTATACAACATTCACCCACTTTCTCTAAACTGAGTGCTTCCTAACTACATTCATACACATTCAGGCAGAGTGGAGGAGCCAGGGATTGAACCACTAACCCTCTGATCAGTAGGTGACCTGCTCTACCTCCTGAGCTAGAGTGTACACTCACAAACCTGTCAAACCTGTCAAACCTGCGTTTGAAACATTGGCTACCATAGCAGTATATTACTGCAAAATGGCATTTGGGTTTTCTAACTAAAATAGGTAAATAGTAACATAAATATTGCCATCATTGCCAGACCTGGCCCACATCTGTTGACATACACTCAGCCATGACACCAGTCAGTCAGAAGTGCCAGCTTGATGCCAGATCCAGGCCAGACCTGTTTTCTATGAGCCTGGGCCACATAAACCAAACCATAATCAGGCCAGATGTGGCATGCCATCACAAAAACAGAGCTATCTACGCCAGGGCTGGCCCATATCCGGATAACATAGCAGTTACCATGCCAGAAGTCAGCCAGCAGTGCCAGCTTGACACCAGATCCGGGCTAGACCTGTCTGCTATGTGAGCTGCTGCTCGCTCAGCTTTTACTGTTCTGAGATCAGCTATGATCTGCGCCTCATATGGAGACACAGCTAGCATTAACAAGTAAACAAGCTTCAGTATTTAAGCATCTTAACAGATGAGTGTCCTCTTGCTACCCACATTGGCCACCATGAGTGAGGAGAGGAGATGTTTTTAACAACTGCTTTATTAGATCAGCAAGGAAAAGTCTGATAATGTTGGAAAGTGGACGCTAGCGCCAACTATATATTATTAAAGTAACTTTATATTCAAGTAAATGAGCTCAACTCTAAACATATGCAGTAATAATGTTAATCTATTTAACAATGATGGGGAAAATTTTTATGCAAAATATATTTTGTAACTTTTTGTAATGCAGTTTGCCTTTCTGTAAGTCACCAGATCGCAGTAAACTAAACCGTTACTTAAAAAGACATCACTTCACCCAGCTATTTGGGTTTCACTTACCACCCCTTGTCTGCAATATTCCTGTGTAATACTCAGTACAATGTTTATCAATGCTGCCAAATGTAACAATATATCTAGTACAAAACACCACCGCTGCAACATGGCACAATATTCAATAACACCCACATTCCACGACTTCTGCTACCCACCAACAAGTGTAATATCCTTCTTTTGTAAAGTGCAATATCTTTTTTTTTAGCAGAACTGTATTTATGTATGTTTATACTTTTATTTTTGCTATCTTATTATATTTGCTATTTTATTGTATCTAATTTCGTGGATGAATGATGAGCGTAACCAAGTAAAAATGTATGCATGGTAGTCTGCTGAAACGTAAGCTTTCCTCCAGTTTTACTGTACAATACCCAAGTACCGCGACAGTTTAGGAATCTTTATCTTATGTTTATCTTTAGTTATAGGCCAATCTCGAACCTCCCTTTTAATCTCAAACATTCTCTAAGAGCACTTCTCTCTCACACTGCGGGCTTACTTATAAGTAGAATGGGAGGCAGAGCCTCCAGCTTTCAGGCCCTCTTCTGTGGAACCAGATCTAAGTTTGTACTTGAGAGACAGATACGCTTTCTACTTTTAAAATTAGGCTTAAAACTTTCCTTTGTTTCTAAAGCATATGGTTAGGTCTAGATCAGTTGATCTTGAATCCTCCCTTGGTTACACTGCAATAGGCTTAGGCTGTTGCGTTGATGAGTATTTCTTCTTCACTCACCTTTTTCAGTCACTGTGTTTTATACATCACTCTGAATTTAGTCATTAATTATTATTAATCCCTCTTCAACAGTGTGTCTCTTATTCTGTCTTCCCCCCATCACTTCCAACCAGTCATGGCAGATGGCTGCCCCTCTCTGAGACTGATTCTTCCCGTTAAAGTATTTCCTTCTTGCTGTCGCTAAAGTGCTTGCTCAGAGTGGATCGTTTGATAGTTGGTGTTTCTCTCTATCATTGCGGGGCCTTTGCCTTCAGTTTGAAGAGCCTTGAGGCAACTGCTGTGATTTGGCACTATGTAAATAAAAATGAACTGAATCGAATTGAATATAATATAAGGAGTGAGTCATGGTGAAGGTGAATGCAGTGGTCTGTTGACTGCAGGCAGGGCAAGAAAAGAATTTCAGAACTGCCCTTAAAAGACCTGGATCCACATTTTTTGTTTTAATTGCTTTACTGTACTCATTATGATCTGAATTTAACATAGTGGAGGGTTTTACGTTTAGCCAGTGTAAAGGCAGAGTTTTTTCCTTGTCATTGGTGAGGAGAAGAATGGTGTAAAAACAATGACCCCTGCCTGGCAACTAATAAAAACTGGCATTCACATCATTTTTTTCATCTGGGGGCCAATTATGTGCAAGTGAAAAGACGAAACACCTCAGGAGGGCATAAATCGCTGGCAGAGTTGAGACAGAGCTGGGTATGGAGGCCAGATGGCAAGGAGAGAATAACTTTGTGTTGGGCTGAGGATGAGACAGCCTTGGATAGCTGATTAGGAAGGAAGGACCAGATGGCTCATTACTGAGATGACCTGTAGAGGCAGTTTAAGGTTAGAGGTGGAGGAAGCATCTAAATACCTCATATGAATGGATAGTAGTGATAAAAGAGAATGGCAAATTGAGTTACCAGAATGACTTCACTCAGTTCAGAAGTTCACCATTTCAGATCTGTCATCCACGTGTGTCAAGGTTTTCCCAGAATCTGAGAAAGTTCTTCCAGTCTATGACACAGCAAGAGGACATTAATCTGAAGTTCGTTTATACATGACTAATTAAAGACAATTTATTTTCTGAGGGGAAAACAAGGCAATGAAT